TTTATGTAGCATCATATTAAAAAATGATAATTCTTTAGAATCTGCATCTTAAGAGTTAATATTCAATTGCAAATTTAATTTTTGTATTTTCCTTAAACTAAACATAATATCACATTTACATTTGTAAGAATTTAGATCATCTCAGACAAGTAAAAAGTAGAAATTTAAACTGAAAAATAAAGTATGGGAAGCAAAGTTTAACAAAAAATTCCCAAACTGTCTAGAAATACATAATATACTGACATAATAACATATGGGAGAAATAAAAAAGACATTGACATTGACCCCATCATTTGAAATATTAAATACCTGTCAGTTTTTTCAACCTGGTAACAACCTTACAAAATTCAGTGGTGAGTTTTACATCCACATGCTATATATTAATAGATAGTAAAGAAAATTTACAAGTGTGTTGCATTATACTATTGTAGGCTATTGTACATAATTAATAAACAAGTATACATTAAACCAGCCCTGTCCAATGGAAATTGATTCACTGATGGAAATTTTAAATCTGTGCTGTCCTATATGGTAGCCCCTAGACCATTCATCTAAGGAACCAAATTTTAAATTTATTTTATTTTCATTAATTTAATTTTTTTTTTTCTCAGAGACAGAATCTCCCTATCTTGCCTAGGCTGGCTTTGAACTCCTGGGCTCAAGGGATCCTCCTGCCTCAGCCTCCTGAGTAGCTGTAATTTAAATTTAAATAGCCACATGTGGCTAGTGTCTATGGTGTCTACCATATCGGACAGGGCAGCTTTGGACGAAGTAGTCTGTGTCAGTACCTGTGCGGTGGTAGGTCCAATGTTGAGGCAGAAACAAAGCCTTTATTCCTATAACTGCCACCAAAAAAGGCAGCCACACTTCCAGACTCAAAGAACATGATAAGCTACTCTTCTTGGAAGCTTAGTGTCATGATGGAAGGATGGGCTTGGTAGCTAGGAGGCTTGGAAACATCCCTTCTTCATGCTACATCTCAATTTGTAAAATATGAGGTTAAATAAGATACTATCTAAGATAACATTCATTCTGAACAATCCACACAGTTCATCTGTATTCTTTCTTCTCACACTCCTGACTCCAGACAGATGACACCATTGACTCTGTCTTTGGACCACAGGCTGAATACATCTGGAAAATGGCCATTTCTAATAAAGGGCAGAAATGTTTCCTGAGCAAGCCAATATTTTGTCTTAGCTTGTCAAGTTTCTCTTCATTACAAGTGTATTAAATAGTTTCTATAATTTCTCTTCTTGCTCTGCTCTAGTTTCTGTAGATGAAGGAACTCTCGACCGACTTGGGTCTCCTGAAGCATTGTGCTCTTCTAACTTTGGCCTGTCTTTTCCTCGGCAAACATCTGTCCTGTTGCTTGTTATTTCCTTGGCTTCAGCCAGAATGCCTAGGTCTCCCCCATTACTTCCCTAACTCTACCTCCTCTATTTCTCTTAGTTCCTACTACCAGACCAGTGTCCTTGGTTTGCTGTTGCCCAATATGGCGGGTACACATGGACCACATGTGTAGTAAGGCCGCAAGAGCAGGGCATGTGTAGTCAAAAGAGCAGAATTTGGGTTGATGGACTGTATCATGCAATGAAAAGAATACAATGTCTAGAGCTGGATATACATATATGAGTTTCAATGTCACCTCCACTAGCCGTTTAACTCTGAACTATTATTTGATTTCTAGTATATCCCCAAATATAAATTGCAAGTAGCAATTCTCTCAATATTATACCAATAAATAAAATAGCTCTTTAAAAGTGCCTAAGGTAGCAGGTAGTAACTAGCAAGGATGCTATATAAAAATAAATTTGAAGAGGAAGAGATGAGAGATAGGGAGATTAGTTAGTAAATAATAAAATAGTGGCAATAAACCAGAGATGAGGTAATGAAGACCTATCGGAAGATAGTGGCCATAGAAAGAACAAGGCCAACAGATATTAAGAAGGAAGCAAATATCCTTAGGGATAGATTAGATAAAGGAGATGCAAGAGAGGAAGGAATCAAAGATAACTCCAAGGTAACTGAGTATATGAAGTTCAGAAAATTAAGATTGATAAAAATCAGGAAATGGGTACTGAAGGACTAATAAAAATCAGGAAATGGGTACTGAATGGGTACCTGTATATATATATATACACGTATATATATTTAAACTCATGAGATTTTATATTTTAGATCCATTTAAAATGAAGGGTCATAAAAAACTTGTAAAAATCTCAAAGCAAGTTAATTACACAATCAAAGCTAAGGCTTAGATATCTTTATTCCCATGTAAAACAATCATTTTTTTCTTTTAATCTGAGATGGAAATGTAAGATGTCCAAATAAATATTTCTTAAGGCCACTTATATATAAAAGAAGGTTGGAAAAATAGTTTTAGGAAACATTGCAACACAGGAAACAGTTGAAACCATGAGGATGGATGAGCTCACAAATTATGAAGTGTAGCAGGAAAGAAGGAAAAGTTGGTCAATAATGTAAAATGCTAAAGAGATGGCACAGAATCACAGGACATTCAGGGGTTTAGTCCCACCCCCTCTCTCTCCTACCTTCAGGAATAATGATGATGATGATCGTAATATTGACACTAATTCAGCTCTTAAAATAGTCCTCAAGGACTTCCCTATATGATCTAATTTACTCCTTATGACACTCTGTGAATAGATATTATTATTAATTGATTCCATATTAATATACAAAGAATTTGAATGCACAGAAAGGTTTGACCAAGGTCACCAATAAGAGATAGTCAAGATTTAAGCACAGATAATTAATTTTCACAGAAACAGAGGTATAATTTTTGTCTAAACTAAAACACTTGTGAGAGTAAAAGGACAACAGAGGTAAACTAGAAATGTCCTGAGAAAACCAGGTCATATGGTCACCTTGGCTTTCTACCACTAAGCAATCTGCCTTGAATGACTTAGAACCATAAATGTGAATTCTTAATCTCCTAATTCTTAGTTATTTGTTTGAATTCAGTTCATTGAAACTTCTTCTAACATGTATCTTTTCTCCTGCCTTTATTTTTTTCCTTTCTACTGGCTGCTTCTCTAATGGCAAAGTCTTCCCAGCATCTAAATCTTCTCTTGAACTCTGCATCATATCTTTGGATTCTTCTATTCACAAACCAATATCTTCTCTCTCAAATATTCTTTGCTGTATATTCTCATGTCCATCTCCATTGCCACTGCCTTTGTTTGTATCTCAGTCTCCAGCTTTCATATAGTGGTCTCTTCTCTCTCTGTATTGATTCTCCTTTAGTCTTCATTTCATGCTATGCCTCTCATGCTATTAAAACATATATTATTTTTTAAATTACCTTAAAAAAACAAACAAAGAACACATGTCGAACTTCCTGATTAAAATGTAAGCTATCAATGGCTCTCCATTGGTTTCAGAATAATATTTACAGCTTTGTAGCCTAATCTCCCATGCTCTCTTTATGCTCCAGGCTGAGCCATGCATTCGTCATCCATGCAATCAGCAGCCTTCCTCTACCTATCTGAGCAGGCCCTTTGGGTAGAATAGCATCCAGTGGGTACTAGGGCCTCAAAAGTTGTTTGTTGAGGGAATGTTAAACCAATTCAAAGGCTTCCTACTTTGTAATTCTATTCATACAGCATTAAGAATATCATCCTAGGCAAATAATAGTTGAATACATATTTCTGATATTTATTATATTAACAATGCTGTGAACTTCTTTTGGAGCATGTCAGAGCTAAGGAAAAAAAATAGAATAATCTTTTAAAAGAGTAGCAATGTGATGATATTTGCCATGCCAAGACTGAAAGTATAAACCTTATACTTTATTTACAAGCCATAAGAATATATTGTTTTACCTAAACAGATATCTAAGCTTTTCTACAGGGGAAATCTATTAAGTTACTCTCAAACCAAATAAATCCAAAAAAAATCTCACTATGCACAAAAATATAGTTTTGCCTTGCATGTGGTAAGGTAATCACATAGTTGGGGGGATTCTATATTTGTTTTTCCTACTAAGAGTACCTGTTATGGATACTATTTTGGCCAATGGAGATCACATTATTGTGTAAACAAATAGATCTGGAGGTTTGGACTAAAGAAATGTTTTAAAAGTGTTTTCCCTTTTGTTTATATTGTTACTGCTTAAATGACACTGACAGATAAAGAGATAGCCCTAGAAATCTCTATCCTGCCCTCCTTCACTAAAGCCCAGTATTTATGGTGGGAATGAGAAACGTTTCACTGCTTAAATAACAGTGCTATGTTGTTCTGCCATACAATGGAATAAAGTCATATGTTAACTAGAAAACCTAAGAAAATCACGATAAAATATGATCTGTTGTAAGGTAGGGGAGGAACTTGTAGTGTTCCTTGGATTAATTAAATAAATACATTTAGAATTTCTTCGATTTTTTGACTGTTTGCTTTTTAAACTCAAAATACTCTATGACTCCTAATTAAAATAGTAATCAAGTTATGTCAATCTTAATATGCTTAAAATTTTTGAGGATCATGTCTCAACCCAAACATAAATTTAGCAACAGAAGTTAGCATTACAATTACCCCTTTTTACTGGGCTAATAGACAGTACATGGCTTAGTCATAAAACACACACCACAGGAGTAAGACTGCCAGCTTGAATCCCAGCTCTGTGACTGACAAATTGTAAGACCTTGACCAAATTACTTAATTTCTCTCTGTTTCAGTTTACTCATCTTTAAAAAGCATAAAATAATAATACATCTCATATGTAACTGTGAATATTAAAATTGTCAATTCAAACATAGAATAATGTAAGGACATAGCACACACTCAATAAATATCAGATGTTACTATACACACAAAGGTTTTAGAAATTTGTCTAACTTAGTGTGGAATTATTTCAAATGTATTTTATAATGTTGAGCTAAACCAATTATCCCAAACACATTTGGGTGAATAATAATGAGCTTCTTATCTGTCCAAAAACAAAGGCAAAACAATCAACACTGAAAAAATTTACTAACCATTGAGCCAGTAGTGCTCTGAAATGTCAGTTCTGATGTAATGGTGATCATGAGTAGGCCCAAGGGACCGTGTGAATGCAGTATCTTTGCCAAGGAAATCAGAAGCTGTTCCAGAGTAGAGGTACTCATCTGAGAGGGAGAAAAATAATACATTGGACTTCTAAGAGTATTGCAATAGATACTATTTAAAATATACAAACTTTACAGAACGACACCAAAGATGCTTATTGCTTAAGATCAGAATATATTGTTTCATAAATTTCACTTTCAGATTTTGAAAAATTAGCTTAGTTGAAGAAAATTTTGGTAAGCTGATGCTAGATGCTTGAATATAAAAGAGTCCAAATTTTTCTGAATTAATAATTGCACATGCTTTAGCTACTTTTTTGAACATGCTCTTCCTCTTTCCCTCCTTCCTACAAATAATTCAAAGAAATATTATAATTAGGAGTTCCTCTTTGTAGCAAGACTAAAAATATTAAAAGTTAAATGCCATAATGAAGGATGAATTGTGTAATTAGTATTTACTTAACCTGACACAACCTCAATGACCACAACTTTTCTTTGCCTAACCTCTGCAGAAAGGGAGCTTTCAGCACTGAAGTCATTCTTTGTAATTATAGCATGTTGCATTCCTTGTGGCTAATCATGTCTCTAACAGTTTTGATAAACAGGAATTCTTGAAAAGCGAATGATGTTACCATTACTGCATACCAAACTTCTTTGTCTTGTTATTTGTGTAAAGTGCATGTCCACGTTTTATCAGAGAGAAAGGAAGGGGAGGGAGAGAGAGAGAGAGAAGGAGAGAGAGAGGAAGGAGGGGAGGAAGGCAAGGAGGGAGAGAAAAAGGAAGACAAAGAATAGGGCAGGAGAAGGAAGAGAAGGGAAAGAAAGGATGGCGAGAAGAGGGAGGAAGGAGTAGGAGGATGGGGGAGAAGTTAAAGGTGAAAAGGAAGGAGAAAGGGGAAAGGGGAGAGTAGAGAAGGAGGAAGAGGAGGGATGGGGAGAGAAAAGGATGAGGGAGGAAAGAAGGGGAGCAGAGACCAGTGTTCCCTAATGCTAGTCAGAGCCCTGGGTGGGGATGAGGCAGGAAGGCAGGAAGAAGGCTGTCCGTGCAGAAGAATACATCGCCCTTCTGCGAGCTAAACCTCTGGTATTTCAGTAAAACGTTTTAGTCAACACTTTTGGATACACTTAATAAAACAATTTAAAAAATGGCTAATCTCTACAGAGCATTTAGAATTTTTAAATGCCTAAATATGAGAACAAAGATATTACTTTATCATTGAAATTTAATTTTACTCAAGAACATATCTTTAAAATTCTGCCTTGGATAAGAAGGGATCCCTGATTAATATCCATAAATACGCCTTTCACTGGGCTATTTGGGACAATTCAACCTTAATAATGACAATAGCTAACTTCTAAAGAAAAAATAAACACACACAAGAGAGAGAAATCCAGCTATGTAAAGTAGATGTGCATATGGTATTGCTTCCGTCCTCATAAGGCATTTCCCTAAAATTTAACGGGTAAATGGCGATATTTCACTGTGGAGCAAATTAAAACAACAACAACAACAACAAAGGCATTATAAAAATGGCAAGAGTAAAGGAAGCAAACCATCACTTTGAAACATATACAAATGCAGGTATTTAAATGTTTTGTTAGAAAAAAGATGTGATGTTTCAATCTAAAAATTAGATCTGAATGTCCAGGCTTTAAAACCGTCTTCTTTGTATAGAAAGTTACTTAAGGATTCCTAAAAGGGTCACCAATGTCTGAAATCTATTGTTTTTTATTAACGCTGTGTCAACCCCACTTGGAAGATCAGAATCACAGACTATCTATCTCATTTTCTGAGAATAATAACTAACCATTAGTCATATAATTTTCAAAAAACACACATATGCTTTCACTTCAAAGCAAAATCACTGGTTCTCACTAAGTGAAAATTAAAATGTCATGGTGCTTCACTCTTATCCTCTATTCAAACACTTGATAGACAAGTTAAATAAAAAGAGACTAAAGTCATGAACCAAACCAAGACAAAAGGAGTCCTTATAATGGCTGAAATTCAGAGGTCTTGCCGACATTCCTCGAACAGACTTCAGACCACATACTACTGCCTTCTTTGAACAAGATTGTCATCTCGTAAGAGAATTTAAGGTGTACATCAAGTGAGAGAAGACTAACTGAGCTAGCAAAAATTTCACATTTCCATTAATATAATAAGGTTACAATGAAATTGGGGAAAAAGTTGTTATTCTATTATCTGTATGCTATAGCTTGATTAATTTGGCTTATTAATTTACCCACTTATGGAATTGCTAAATTTAACTTCTATGCTAAGCCAAATAAGGACATGGCTCAGTATAAAGAAATCCCAGACATCTATATATAAAATTATAGAACAAGTAATTGTGTGCCTGTTGCATTATAAAGAATTCAATCAAAAGTTCATTTAAAAAGTGACTATGCAAATATTAAGGATTACTGGGGCCTCATCTCATCGATAAGAGATAATTGATTGTTCAGTATAGGAAGATCTGACACTAAAATACTGAAATCAAATAGCTGGTGGAAGATTAATCCAAAATTATCTCCAGCTCAATAGGAAAATGTGGTTTAGTCAACACACACCTCTTCAGAAAAATCATTTAAAGGTAAGAACTGCCTGTCATCGATCTTACCTGTCATTACTGAAGCAAAAGGCTGCTGAGGATCAAAAGGACATTTCAGTCTGCCAGACTCCAAATTGTGTGTGTCTAGTTTGAATATAACTTCCTGTTGTGAGAAATGTTAACACAAGTGAGATTTTTAAAAATATCACAATCAGCAAGAACAAAGGTGATAAGACTGAAATTCCAACTCATTAATATGATGAAAATTAATTTAGCATAGAGCATGTGCATTGTGCTGTGCTCCTTAACTCTTTAGCAAACATTGTATCTGGCAAGACCGGATACCCATGTTTTGGTCTCCTTTTGCCCAAAGTGGTAATGGTAACACTGAGTGAATTTATCAGTTGGAAATATTAGTAATATGCACATCAATTCATTTAGTCTGGACCACTACCAATAGCAAAATCACCACCAAGAGCACATTTTTCTTTTTTTTTTTTTTTGAGACAGAGTCTGGCTCTGTTGCCCTGGCTAGAGTGAGTGCTGGGGCGTTAGCCTAACTCACAGCAACCTCAAACTCCTGGGCTCAAGCGATCCTACTGCCTCAGCCTCACGAGTAGCTGGGACTACAGGCATGAGCCACCATGCCCGGCTAATTTTTTCTATATATTTTTAGTTGTCCAATTAATTTCTTTCTATTTTTAGTAGAGACGGGGTCTCGCTCTTGCTCAGGCTGGTCTCAAACTCCTGAGCGCAAACAATCCTCCCGCCTTGGCCTCCTAGAGTGCTAGGATTACAGGCTTGAGCCACCGCGCGCAGCCCATTTTTCTTAAGTTTAACAACAAAGTTATTGAGCTTGATAAAATTAACTTAATCTTTTAAGAAATAAATCTTGCTTTGATAACTATACTTTCAGGATAATGATTATGGTCTATATAACTAAGCATCTTTAAGCAACTTACTTGAGCCTTGTAACATTTTTAAATTTTAGTGACATAAAAGTGTTCTAAGGAAGGCAGTTCATTTTCAGGATGTTGATACATCTGGACAAAAAAAATCCTGTTGTAGTATTTTCACTATTATGAAAACACTGTACACATTAAAGCCACATAGTTATTTTGGCTGCAATATCTATTTTTATAATAGTGGCCACAGACAGAATGACATTGGCAGACTTCTAATATTCAGGAAAAAAAAACCATCTTAAGTTGAACTTTCCAAGAAAAATATGAATGTATAATGAATATGGCCCCATGAGCCATACTGTTTCATAATAATGACAACACTACCATCCAGCAAAAACGGTGATGACTCACTCTGTGCATGCACTAGTTAGAGAAATCCAGCATTTCAGACATTCTCTTTAGATGGAGTATTTACAAAGTTATATCAAAGCACACATATATTAGGAAAGGACCATTCAGTTCTATTTATGCAGAAAGCAAGCAAAAGGCATAGAGGAAATTGGATTATTTGTTGGATTATGTTGTCATTTCAAACTTTTTTTTCTTTTGCACATCATCAGTAATAACTCTTGCCTCATTACAAAATAACAATAGCAATTTAAATAGCCTGATTAACAATTGCTATTCCATAATTTTAAGTAAATATACTTTAATACAAATAATAACGGTACCTGGCAGATAATAGGTACTAAACAAAGGCCAGGAAATTTATGCACATTGTCTCATAGAATTCTCACCACAAGCTTAATGTTGTTCCTACTTTAATCATTCTAGCTTTGCAAATGTGATACTGAAGATAGAAGGCTTTATGCATCTTGCTTAGTGTCACATTGCTAGAAAGAGGCAAAGCAGGAGCTTGAACTCAGGGCTGTCTTCAAAGTTTATCCTCTTAACTAATCTAGTCTCAGAATTTCTAACTTATGGACTTAAAAAAATGTGGAAATAAATTTATAGACCCACCATGACCATGTAACATGATCAAATCCAAGTGTGTTTAGTTTGAACAGGTCAGTTAATGAAAAGTTGTGATAGTGGAGCTTAGGTATGAAAAAAAGTTAAATGAGAACATATTTAGGGCCTGCTTCCTAACTGTGGATGTGGCCAAACATATGTCAGGAAAAAACACCTGTAAATAGTGACTTGTAAGTACATTTAAATATCATTAAGGGTGCATTATTCTCTACGGGTCAAACAGATCTGTTGACTCTAAAACCTCTAATGGGATATTGTAAAGTGAAAATTAAACCAAATCCCAGTGCCCCAGAAAATTATAGTAAAAAGCACAGAGACAGAGAGAGAGAGAGAGAGCACCTGAGAAAATGTCAGAATGTCATAGTGGATCTGAGATACTATACAAACTCAGACAGTTGTACTGACTTCTCTTTTTAAGTAGAACATTTCATTAAATTCTTAAGAGAAGCTCATAAAATTGGCATTTATGGAAGCTAAGGACAAAGTCTCCCTTATAATCTACTGGAGAAAGGTGATAGCAAGAAAGCAACTTTCCTTGGCCTAATCAAGGATACTTATGGGAAAATGATGTTGAAAAATGATGGATGATTCAATGTACTTCTTGAAATAAACTGAATTACACAGCACTCTAAGTTTTGAGATTTCAATTTTATAAGATTTTTCTTATGAAATTCCTTAAACTGAATTAATTATGCAAAAAGCCCCTGTCTGAGCTACACACACACACACACACACACACAGAAATATTGTTAGAGAAGGCAAGAGATAAGTAGACAGAAATGATAGTAAGAAAACATTTAGTCATCATTGTCAACATCATCCCCATTTAAAGATGTGATCTGCAGCAGGAGACGGGAGTAAAGAACCTACTTCCAATCCAATTATGACATAGTTATCAGGCTCTACCAGTACTGCAGGATATAAATGTTATTTTTATATAAACCGTATATGGTATACATACTTTTGAAACTCATGCCTCTGTTCCTTTCTGTCTTTCTGTTGCCTAGTGATGAAAGAATATTAAATGGCTGGAACGAAGCAAGTGCTATGCCAATGAGTATATGATCATTTTCTCATTTTGTCCTCAAAATAAGTCTTTGAAGTAGCTACTATTATTACCATACTCATTTTAGTGAAATAGAAGCTTAGAAGTTTATAGAGCACGCATAAGGCCATGGAGTTGGTAAATGACTTTAGCCTTATTTCACACTCCGGGTGTCTGTTCTCAGACTACTATTACAAGTTGTTGACAGTGGCAGTGACTTCTCTGTTGAGTTTCAGCTACAATTTGCCAACTTTGAATGACCTACTGAAGAGGTTTCAAAGGCAGAAGGTACAAAACTAACTCACCATGGTTTCCTCAAACCTATTAATACTCTCACATCAATAAATAACATCACTCTCCAATTGCTTGCCAAAGTCAGAAATCTGAGGTTTGTCTTTAGCTGTTTCCTCTTTCTTTTCATTGCCCCAGCCACACTGCATAGCAGTCCCCGGAGTGTGCCTTTCTCCACCCCTTTTGTATATTGTTGTTCTCTCTTCCCAGCCACCTTAGGAGCAACCTTATTTGTTTGAAAACGGAAGGACCTTCTAAACTCCCTCTAGAAGTACAATGATTTCTTAGGACTACATGATTCATAAAAAGAGTTAACAATCTTCAAGCAGGGCTGCCATACAATTACCTGTACTCACAACCAGCTGAAAACTGGCAAGCTCAATACCCCTGTTCACTTATAATTCTCTTATTCACAGAACTTGTAAATTTGACTGCCCCAGGGCTTCTTGACAGTCCTCAAATAAGTAATTAGCTCCATCTAAATTCCCTTTCAGCACTTGTGACTTTTAAGGAACTACAGAACACTATTTGCCTTCCTCATCAGGTTGTGAGTTTGGCCTTTAGCCTCAGGCCTCAAAACACATCCAAGCTGTGGGGCTATATCATATAATTACACCCTATGCTATGAGCTACTGTTATATATTACCCTTCATCAAAGCTAGGCAGGAGAACATTTCGCCAGCAACAAAAATGATGGATTCACGTTGCCAAGTCTCCTAGTGATTCAAAGATTTAACTACCAGGGTTGTTTTATTTTCAAACAGTTGAGAATGGGTTGGTTAGACAAGTTGGTTAGAGAGGAAAATCTATCCAGCCCCAGCTGTGAGTTTGATCTCTGTGTGAATCAGCTAAGTCAACGTAAAACACACAGCCAATTATCCTGCAAATATGTGTGGTTATTCACAAGAAGTACAGTTATGTGTTGCTTAACAATGGGATATGTTCTAAGAGATATGTTGTTAGACAATTTCAACATTGTATGAACACTGTAGAGTGTGCTTACACAAACCTAGATGGTATAGCCTACTGTATACCTAGGCTATATGGTACTATTGCTCCTAGGCTACAAACTTGTACAACATGTTACTATATTGAATACTGTAGGTAAATGTAACACAATGGTATTTGTGTATCTAAACATATGTAAACATAGAAAAGATAGAGTAAAAATGTGTTGTTGTTGTTTTTTTGAGACAGAGTCTCCCTCTGTCACCCTGGCTAGAGTGCAGTAGCATCATCAAAGCTCATAGCAATCTTAAACTCCTGGGCTCGAGCGATCCTCTTGCCTCAGCCTCCCAAATAGCTGGGACTATAGGCGTGTGCCATCACGCCTGGCTAATTTTTCTATTTTTGGTAGAGATGGAGTCTCACTCTTGCTCATTCTGCTCTTGAACACCTGGCCTCAAGCAATCCTCCTGCCTCAGCCTCCCAGAGTGTTAGGATTACAGGTGCTCCACAGTGCCTGGCAAAATGTGGTATTTCATCTTACAGGGCCAATATCATATGCGTGGTCCATTGTTGACTGAAAAGTTGTAATGAAACACATGACACACATAAACATAAGGATAATACTGCATACAAAGAAATAATTTGGAGCACATATTCTAAAACTGAGTTGGGCATGCTTGCTCCAGGGATGGGCCACCTTGATTCAATTTGTTGCTAGACCATTTATTAGTTGGATGATTTTAGCATGTTATTTATTCCATTGAGACTCCATTTTTGCTAACCTCTAAATTGGGAATTACAATGGTACTAACTTCATTATGAGTGTTATAAAATTTTAAAGAAATAATCCATGGAAAGTGCATGACAGTTCATAACAGAGTCCTCTAAAGTATGTTACTGAAATCTGCATATTTTTCATTTATTAAAATGCTCAATGATATCTGGAATACATTACTTCTAATTAATACATCCTTTATTTCCACTATGTCAATTTGCTCCAGCAGGAACAATGAGTTCAGTGTGCCAATAGTCATTAGCACACTGACTATTCATGAAAATTATTTTTACTTAGTCTCCACTGTTGTAAACAAACATAACAGGTCAACTTTATTGGATGGGAAAAAGGAAATGATTTATACGGTTCATTTCCATTGCAAGATCCATGGGAAATGGATTTTTACCAACAGGAACATACTATTTCTCTCTATATATAGTTATGAAGGGGATTCAAGAGAAAATGAAGACATACATGTACCCCGTAGAAGACAAGCCCTTTTGACATTTTGAACTATTAATTTTAATTATCTCACTAAAAACAATTTTTTATAGAAAAAAATTTATTAGGTTGATAAAATCTATGGTGAAAATGACATTCCATAAAATGGTTAGGAACATGAGTTCTTACACAGTTCGTAAACTATATGTTTCAATCTTTATATTCAAATCTGCCTGCTTTATGTCATAGGCATTAAGTAGCAAGATATTACAATAAATTATGTTTTTCATGCTATTTTATTACATTACCTCCTTGTAGACTCCAAGATCAATATATCCACATATTGGATGAAATGCTCCAGTTCCACACACATAAATGTGAGTTTTGTTATAGGGTTGAAGTACTCTGATGAAATTTGCACATTCTGTCTATTGGACATAAAAATTAAGAGCATTAGCACACAATTTAGGTTTCTGAAATATTACTTTTCATACCATCTATTTTCTAAGTAGGTAGATAAATAATCAAAAATAAGATGGCCAATAAAAAAGATTTATGGGCAATGTCTAAATTAAATATTTGACTTAGCAAAAAGGTAAGACATAGAAACTGTGGGTTACCAGAGTGACTTTTAAGTTTTTTGAAGTTACAAAACTTTTGAACTAATCAGAATTAGGTTAATTAGAAGGCAAATCTCTGTAGTGGTACTCAATGAGGCCTAGAAAATGCATATAAACAGAATATGAAATGGACAGCCATACCTTTTTTTTGTAAAGACTGGGTCTTTCTTTCAAGAATTACATAGAAAACAAAATCCATCATGTTCTTATTATATTGCTACATAATCTATCCCATATAGCTACTACTATTTGCCAACATCATCTGTCCCTGCTACACTCAACAAAACACTGAACACAGATGTGTATTCTTATACATGTCCTCCATTCTTACTGACAAGAATGTCCTACCACTTATTTCCATTTATTTTCAAATGTTATACAGCCTTTAAGATTTAGATTACTTCCTGCTGATTCCAATAGACTCTTCTGTTTTTTCCATGGAAATTTTTTTATACCAAGTCAAATTTTTTGGTGAGATTTTCATATTTCTTCTTTTGAATATGCTTACACCTAAAATATTCATTTATATCCTCATTATCTTTAGAACTTAATTATTTTCTATCTTTGGATGCAATTTTTGAACCATAGCTTCATGGCCCAAAGACTCCTGAGAAAACACTCAGCTATAGCACACTTATTCTAGGTTGACTCTGTCCAGGAGATAGGCAAGTGTTTACTAAGTTGGTAACCTATGAAACTACTGGAAAAAGTCCAGATTCTCCCTGCCCAAGTGGCCATGGTTTCCTCACCAGTCACACATTGACCTAATGGTCACTGTTGTTTTTAGGATTCTTAGGAGGATTAAAAAAAAAAAAAAAAGATAATGATCTAACTGGTAGGGTGGTTCTTAGAATGAAATAAAATTTTTAAAAAGTCCAACAATGATTTAACTGACAGGATTGTTATTATTGTTACACAGATTAAATGAGATAAAATAACATTTAATAATTGTTTATTCCTTACCCAGATTTTGGCCTACACAAAATACAACATACTAGCAGCTCCTCTGATTTTAGAGTGAACGGCTATGTCTGCAAATCTGTGCTACAGATTTTCTAGTTTCTAGTTCTTCCTTCACCTAGCTGGCTTGGAATTTTATGTCTCAGAATTTTTAGATCCCAGTTAATAAAATCTGCATAATCTATCACAGAGTAATGTTATACTTAACTCATTGAGTCTTCCGCTCTCTGTTTCCTTATAAAAAAAGTATGTAGCTATTGATGATGGTATGAAATGTCAGTGCTGGTCCCTCGGTAAACCACACAGGTAAAGAACGTTTCCTTATCAGGTAGGAAGATTCAGCACTGTAACAGCAGCCTGCATATATTTGCTTAGGTTATTGTAGTGTTTAACAGAATCATATTAGATCATTCTATGAAGGAAAGTCTTCCACCTTTCCATCAAATTGTCCGATAACGAGAACTTATTTTCTATTTGCACTAAGGCACCATACAGAACTAGCTTCATGTTATTTAACATTATGTTAGGAAAACTCAAATGAAAACCTGACTCAGAGGTAAATATACCATACTAATGGTTTTGGACAAACAGTGGAGACATAGTAATATGAGAAAAGCTAAGACAAATAGTGTAAAAATGTACATAATCACCATATAAATTTAAATGATGGCCTCGTGGCTAGAGTAGGAGGTTTTAATATTATTCAGCCTACACTTTGCTCACTCATACTCACTAAAAAGACATTTCTTGGTCCTTCTCCTACAAAGAGATTCATGACAGGACAGAAGCTATGCAAGGGATAGTATGCAGGGCAGGAAGAGTAAAATTACATGGCTACAGTGATGTGGGACTGGCTCACTGCCAGTTATTTCATCATTTTTTCAAAAGCTTAGTTTTACCAAATAGCCACAGAATTTAGAAAGTAATTTTGCATATTACAAAATACTTGCCAAAAGAAATAAAATAACTCCCTTTCCAGATTATAAATTACGGAGTCAGGTAGATTGGAAACTATGAGTGACACAGCACCGTTTAAAATGGCAAGTAAGTCCCAAGGTGAAGTTTTATACACATAGGAGATGTAATTTTAGTGATTATTTTTAAAAAAGTTTTGAATCACACCTAAAACATTTCATATCCTTTAACTTTTCTATGAATACTTTATTAAAATACAGTTAGCCCTGGAAAGTAACCTATTATGCAAGTTCCCTGACTTGATGAGACATGACCTAGGATGGATTTGTGAAATTCCTCCCTTCTCTCTGATTGGACTAACATGGAATAGAACAAAATATGGACGAATCTTAAATTATCTGACACAATATAAAAAAAGTCAGTTCAGCTCAGTCAATTGACCCACAATTCAACCTCTAAGAATTTATTCTCCAGATATTCTTGTGCATGTGTACAAAGACATGTATGCAAAGATATGTATTCAGCACTCTCTGTAATAGCAAAAGACTAGAAGCAACCTCACTGTCAATCAACAGAAGACTGGCTACAGGAAAAAAAAAAAATAGAAAGTTGATAGAGGGTATTCTCTAAGCGGCCTAGAGGCGATGGTTGCCTGTGGGAAAGAAACCTGTGAACAGAAGTAAAAGATAAGGTCTCCTACTTTAAATATTGCCTGAGGTGGATTTTTAAAGCCAAACAATTCTTGCTGCAAAAACTTTACAATGACTTCCCTTGTAATGCATAACTTCATTTTCAAAGCCTTAAAAGATTCTGTGCCATTTTCTTTTCATGCACAAAGTGTCAAGGTTTTGCTTAAATAGCAAGATCAATAATTAACTTGATTTAATTCACTTAGGGACCTGCATGGCTATTAATGGTAGTGTAATTCCATGAGGCATGAAGAAAGATAACTTTGAGAAGCAGCTTTTTTAAACTTTCCCTGAAAGCTGGCTAATTTGTCAGCCATTGTCCACAATGGCAATTGTTGCATGTGACCAAACAATCAGGTAATATATTCAACTTAGGAAAAGTATTGAATTTCTCCTTCCTTTCCTTATTCCACCTACCCACTCCCCTTCCCACTTGCCTGACCTCACTCCCATTGAATGAGAAAAAAAAGAGAGAGAAGAAGGGGAGGGGGCGAGAGAGAACCAAAAACAAGCAACAACTTTTTAATTCTCCCCAAGTAACATTAGATGTTTCAATATTTTATGTATCATATATATCCATCCATAGATAAATAATTGAATAAGACAAATATAAAGCTAAATTCATACTTGGAGAAAGGACAAATATGTATTAGTCTATGCATTAACACTTAGAATTTTAGTTTTCCCCCAGATACCTGGAGAGGTATCAGCAAAACATAAGTATTTGTAATTTTCAAGACGTAGAGTCCAATGAAATCCAGTTCAGCTTTATATGTAATTCTGATAATTGACTTGCAATTGCCAATTATTATTTATTTAGGTTAAATATGGGAAGACACTGATGATTTAGTAATCTGGTCTGTTTTTATTTTTAGCGTATTTTGTAGAATGTTGTGATCATCAAACATTTTTTGAGCATTTACCAGATG